CTGAATCAGGAGCTGTTATGCCATTTCCCTAAGAAAACATATTCTGTACAACAAATAATGATTTTACAAACAAAGGTTTGGAATTAATCTTATTGTCATTTGGACGTTTCTTCCAACTGGAATGGGAGTTTAGAGAATTGTTCTTAGCTTTTGTTGAAATAAAACTACACCACCCATTGTGATTTATTATTTTTATAAGTAGTAATTAATAAGTTAATGAAGTAGCAATGATGTTGATTAGAAAATAGTTCCTAGATCTCGGGAAGATTAATATGGAGAATTCCTTCTTGTTTACCTACTTTCCTTGTCCAGTGTCTGTTCCAGCTCTCCAACTCTGGACTCCACTACATAGCTACAGCTGCTCCCTCACGGGCTGACGGCCATGCCAGCCTTCAGTGCCCAGGAACTGGGTGTCATTCTTTCACCTTATTCTCACACACTCTGTTTATACTTTGTCAAGGTCAGCCACTTCTCCCTTCCTCTGTCACCATATGGCCTGTCACTGCCATCTGTCTCGTCCCTGCTCTTTTCCTTGAAGGAATTTTCCGAACAGTAGCTTAATTCTCCTAGAACCACCCCTGCCTTATTAATCTAGGGAGAAAATGGGGAAAGGTGGGATATTTGTGTTGTTCCTCTAGGGTCCCCAGGCCACCTCTCACTCTCTGCAGTGTGAATAAGAGTTATTATGTATTTAATAGGGTTTCCCTATTGAATAACACAGAGGCTGTCATGGCTATCTTTCTCCTTTTCCACACCTAATCTGCTGACGCCGAAATATGGATATTGTGAATGTTGTGCCCCTCATAAGTCACAGACTCCATGAGGGCAGGAAACGCACACCTTGCTGGACAATTGTGTCCCGGGAGCACAAGACTAATGTTTTGAGAGGAGTTTAGAAATAGTAAGTAGTAACTTTAAAATATGCAAAGGCTTTAAAGAGATAGGTCAGTGGTTAAGAGCACTGGCTGTTCTTCCAGAGGACTCAGGTTCGATTCCTGCAAGGCCTTCACAGTTGTCTGTAACTCCAGTTCCAGGAGATATGACACCCTTTTTTGGTCTCCATGGGCACTACATGCATGTAATGAGAAGCCTATATGCAGACAACACACACAAAAACATGGAATAATAAAATAAAAACTTTAATTAAAAAGGAAAAATAAGAGAAAGTAAAAAGGAGGCTATAGATACCTTAGAAAATCCCTGGGTTCTTCCCGGGACTTTAAACCTAAGGCTTTTTTGTCTTAATCCATGTTTTCATTGTTATTGTTACAATAAAATACGTGTGGATCATGTAAATTATAAAAAAATATAAATTAATTTTATTCATGACTTTGAAGATTGAGATATCTAATATCACAGGGTCTTCATCTGATGAGGGCTTTCTACTGCACCATAACATGGCAGAGGCTTTCAGATGGCGCTATGGGGCATGTGTGTTAGCCTGGGTCTTCTGCTCTCAGATGGAGCAACGGGGCACGTGTGTTGGCCTGGGTCTTCTGCTCTCAGATGGCGCTATGGGGCATGTGTGTTAGCTTGGGCCTTCGGCTCTCAGATGGAGCAACGGGGCACGTGTGTTGGCCTGGGTCTTCTGCTCTCAGATGGCGCTATGCGGCATGTGTGTTAGCTTGGGCCTTCGGCTCTCAGATGGAGCAACGGGGCACGTGTGTTGGCCTGGGTCTTCTGCTCTCAGATGGAGTGATGGGGCATGTGTGTTAGCCTCTTATCAAACTGTGAATGCTGTGATAAGCGCCCTGCTATCATGACCTCATTTGACCTCATCACCTCCCTAACTCCCCCTCCATTTCCTTAACATTAATTTGAGGGGTCATATTCTAGCAGTATGTGCCAGTCAGCGTTCTGTGGCTATAAAAAATGCCTCAGACACTACAGTTTAAAAGACGTTAAAGGGTTCAGTCTGCAATCAAGCAGCCCCTTTGCCTTCAGGTCTGTGGCAGCCAATGATGGTGGGAATGAATGGTGGGAAGGCATGTTCAATTTATAGCCTGGGATGAAAATGGAAGAGAATATGGGTTTTCATCACGAGTCCCCTTCCTAATCGCCAGTCCCTCACTAGACACCATTACCTAAAAGCTCTTCCTTCTCCTGATACCACTGCTCTGAGGACCAAGACATCTTGACACAGGCCTTGGTGACACCACCAATCTAAACCACCAGTGACAATCCTCATAGAATTACTCATTCCGGGGCTGTGGTGAGTCAGAAGCCAGGAACACAACATTGCACAGCGTTTCTGCCTTCCTACCTCTTGCTTAGAGGCTGATAAAATGTGGCAGAAGCAATGGCCACTTGGTCCCAGAGCCTGGGTCTTATGGAACCTTTAGTGGCTGCCCTCCAAAGAGAAAGCATAAAACTGTCATGGTAACAAAACACTGGATGGAAACAATGTCAAACACGGGAGGGGTTTATTTGGGCTCACAGTTTCACAGGTAGGTGTTGGAGCTGTTTATTCTGGGTCCATAGTGAGGGATAACATTATGACAACAGGAGTGTGTGGAGTAGGGGGCTGTTAACTTCTTTGTGGCCCAGAAGCGGAGGGGGAACATGTCAAGATAAAGCCCCCTTTGACATCCTTTCCCCAGATGGGTCCCATCTCTTAAAGCTTCCAAATCCTTGTCACTATTCATTGACTAACTCTTAATACATGAGGTTTCATGGTAGATATTTCTTCACAAACTGTGTTGCATGCATTTGTGTGTGTGTGTGTCCAAACCATACACAATGTTAGATAATCAGAGATGGTATCTCATATGTAATTGGTTAAGGCTAGATAATCAAATGTAGAGGGTATCTCAAATGTAGGTAGTAAGGCTTTTTAATCAAATGCAGAGATATTCCATATGTATGGAGTATTGCAGACTGAAAAAGAAGTAGGAATAGGCAGACAAGAGGCTTACCTTAGTTACTATCTTATTGCTATAAAGACATACCATGATCAAGGAAACTTAGAGAAGGAAGCATTTAGTAGGAGGCTTGCTTAAAGTTTCAGAGGGTTAGTCCAAGATCATTATGGTTAAGATCATGACACCAGGCAGGCAGGCATAACCCTGGAGAAAATTAGCCAAGAGCTACATTTTTTTATCCTCAGGTAGTCATCAGGGAGAGAGAGAGACAGAGACAGAGAGAGAGAGAGAGAGAGAGAGAGAGAGAGAGAGAGACTGGGCTTGATCTGGGCTTAACCTGGGCATTGAAACCTTAATGACTACCCCAGTGACACACCTCCTCCAACAAGACCACGCCTCCTGATCCTTCCCAGTTTCACTGAGAACTAAGCATTCAAACATATGCACCAATGGGGGCCATCCTCATCAAATCACAAGGCCAGTTTGGCATTGCTGATAGAGAATTTTTTTTCAATCGATATTGATTGACTGGTAGATAGAACAGAGAAGCTCTTCTGATTTATTATTATGATTATTGTTATTATTATTATTAAACAGGAAGTAGGAGTTGGTAGTCAAGCACAGGGAGCGGGTTGGAGTTTGAGGAGAGAAGTGAGAATTTTTCCAAATGAGTGGGGGTCGTCATTTGACAGGGGTGGGACCTAGCATCTTTTCTCAGTGGCACTCCAAGGCCTGTTTCAGGTTTACAATCATTACAATGAGCAATGTTAGCATGCTGGTTGATTTTCTCCAGTCATGGGTACTTGCCCAACAGCAGATCTACAAGAGGTATGAATATTTTTTTCAGAGTGGGAAGAAAGAGGGAGGGAAGAGTCTGGGAGTATGTGCAAAAGAATGACTATATGAAGCAGTATGGAATTTAGGATATGAAAAAAGATGGAAGGTGTGAAAAGGGGCAGACAATAGGGTACTAGGAAGAATCTGTCGACCACCAAGAGATATCAACATTAGGAGGTATGAGAAAAGATGACAGGAAGTAGGAAAGTGGATCGCTAAAATCGACACCACAGAGAAACACAGTTAGTGGTTGCTGAGGCCATAGATACTATCCTGGAAATGGTTGTGCACCTTAGCTTTCTGTTGTTGTTACAAACACTCCAGATCACTCATTTATGTGGAGGAATTATGTTTTCTTCACGGTTTCAGTCCACGATGGCTTTGCCTCTTGCTTTTCAGCTTATGAAGCAAGATGGTATAACATGGTTGGAGCAAAGTGGCTTATCCCATGGTGATGAGAAGGGAGGAGAAGATGGAAGAGGGGTTAGGCTTATTTTACTTTCACCATGCCTCACCTTCTAAGGGTTTCATTAGTTCAATTAGGACTGGAGGTTGGAGAGGAAACTTTCAGTGTGCGGACCTTCAAACCGTCTCAGTGGCTGAGCTAGACGTAAGATCATCGCAGATGAAAAACTGAGAGGCTACGTAGGTATTGTGGACTCAAGGATATGATTCCAAAACTTCCACTGATGAGCAGCCGAGTTTCTGAATCAGTCAATTACCTCTAGCTGATTATTGCAAGGCCTCTCATCATCAGTTTGAAATATAACAGACAGTAACTAAGGGTTACAATCTGTTTTCTTTATCGACTGATATATAACTAGAACTGTTATTCAAAGGCTGTAATGGGAGACATATTAATCCACGATGAAGTGGATGTAGGAGGAAACACAGTGAGACCCTGTCATATAAAACGAAAATGATGAAAGACGAATGATGCACAAATACCATCCTAGACGTTGTAGAGAGAAACTGTAATAAATTGCATCCCAGCATTTTCACAGCGTGGAGAAGCTGGGTTCTGGGAGGTAAGAGTGTTTTTTGCTTTTCGGTATTAATTGAGACCAGCGCTTGACATATATTAGTTGTTCCTTAAATCTTGGTCGAGTACAGTAACAAACGTTCTAAAGAACGCACTACTTTAGCACCCAACCACAGTTAAAGCCCCACCGGGCCAGTTCCGCAACACTGCGCTTGCGCGCGATAACCCCCTCCCATCCCGGCCTTTTTCCGGGCCAGCTTCGCCACAGGAAACACAGGAAATTTGAGCTCTTCGCTTTCCGTAGGCGCCCTTCCCGGCTCCCTCCGCGGCGTTCCCACGCCGACGCTCCTGAGGTTTGCGGGGCACTCGGTGGCTTCGCTCTTCGCGTCAGCAAGTGCCGAGGCCATGGCAGCCCAGAAGATAAACGAGGGGCTGGAGCATCTGGCGAAGGCAGAGAAGTAGTACGTGGAGTCGCAGCTGGGCTAGTGACCCGCGCCCCTTGGCCGTGCGCGTGGGTGGATCGGGAGGGAGGGCCGTGATGCTGTCCGCGGCGTCCCGGGGCGGTGCCGTCCCTTGTGGGTCAATCCCCTGCAGTCGGCGGTGCGGGCCTGCGCCTCGGCATCTGCATCACAGACACGTCTGTCCGGCGCGGGTTCCCGAGGGTTTGCGGCCGCTCTGCTCGTAGAGTAGTTGCTGGCTCAGGGGTGGCCACCTTGTTTCCTCTTCATGACAGCCAGAAGTGACCCCACGGATGAAATCGCCCGGTGGGGAGCCACTGCTAGGAAAGAGACCTTGTGCCATGCGGGGTGTAGACTAATTCTGGGACCTCTCACCCTTAGACGTCCTGTTCCCTGGGGTACAAGGTCTCTGCTTCCTTAGCCCTGTGGGTGTGCCACCTTCTGGTTCCGGGCTCAGTAGGAACCCAGCTGTACTGGAAATTGTGAATTCTCCTTATTTTGACACTAACATGACCCTCTAACCCACTTCCGTGAATTACAACATACATAGTTAGCGATTATCGACTATAAGAACTTTCTTAGTACACTTTTAGGGGCACCATAAACTAAGCAAGATCTTACCAACTTTCCAAATAAAAGTCCTCACTTTACAAAGGAGAAACAGAGGCTGCCAGAAACTTTCTGGAGACCTGTCCAAGGCTGCCTAGCTGAACAGAGCAGGGCCATGTTTACGCAGTGGAAATCCCAAGGCTCTTTCTTTTATACCACATTGCCTCCAGTGGCTTGGAAGGCAGCTATCGGTGCGGAGGGTGATCTCAACAATCCGTGTTGCTGGTGGGAGCAAACATAAAAGACCAGAGCATGTGCTGTCAGCCATAATAAAGTTGCATTATGTGAACTTCAGGGAGAAGTGATCGACCCGCCTGAGTTAACGGAACAATAGGAATCGAGATTGGCATCCTTTCTGTAATAGCCTTAACTAATCCTCACGGCAGCTGTGTATGGAGCTGAGCCTTTGGCTTCTAGGTGTCTCTGCTGGGAGAAGAATGGTGGGAGGGGCCTTCAGTCAAGGTGGGGTCATAGATGCCCGGACATACTTGTGGCTGTGGTGGGGGTGTATTGGCAGTGGGGTGGCAGGGAAAATGGGCCAAGCGTGTAGGAGAGGCAGTCGATTATACTCTGTTTTCTGATGGCAGTAGCTCTCATCGCTTCCTTTGTCTTAGGGAAGTTTTCTTACTGAGTCTTAGGACAAAAACAGTCAAGGCTCATAACAGGTTAGACATCAAAGTGACATTAACAGGGCCTTCATTCCTAACTAGTGATGCTCTACTGCCTGGGGGTGATCAGCAGTTTTTAAAATCTCTCCAGCACATTGAATGATTATAACTTGTTTGGGTGAGACTTCCATAATCATGTTACTATAGGGCGTAATAGGTGCTTTCATGACGGGCAGAGCTGGAACTTTGCTCTGCTGCTTATTTCAATTTTATACATTAGACATTACATGTAATTTGAAGGATTTTTATTTCTCCCAGAGATGAAACTCTTCACAAACTTGAACATCTGTTTACACACTTTAATATTGTTATAGTATGTATGTGTATGTTGTGTGTTAAGTATACTAAATATATTTTACAGAGAAAAGTAACTTCAGAGTTAGGCTCTGGGTAGTTGATACATGGGTCACAGGGACTTCTGTGGGTCTGTGAAGTGTGTGCTTCTAAGGACCCCGTCTCTCATTAGCCCCTGGATTCATATGAAGCAGTGTTCTATGTAAGCAGACTTTCACTAATTGAGTTGAAATGTAGAATATAAGACGGCCTTCAGCAATTCTTACACACACTCAAGTATGAGACCTACTGGATTAGTTTGAAATTATTTTTAAAATAAAAACAGAATGCTGCAAAAGAAAAAAGGCAAGAAAGATAAACACTCAATATTGGGTGCCCTTTGCTCTGGCTTCTAGGCCAGCGTCAATCCTGGATCGCCATTTCTCTCTGTTGTCCTAATACTCTCCTCTTTCTCCCTCCCACCCATTGGCTGCTGACTCTCACGCAGCCTTTGCTTTACTCCTCAGGTTTCCCGTCTGAATGTTATCCCTTAGTCTCTGCAGTCTCTTGGTATACCAGGTGCTCACTGGTCTTTACTTGTCCTCTTCCCAGTAGCCGCTCTGCTGCAAAGGACAGTCTACTTCAGGTTCCCAAGCTTGTTAAAGCACACGTGGCACCCACCCAGACAGTTTCTGGCTGTGTAGATCTGGGGTAGGCAGTGTTGATGCCGCTGGTCTGGGGACCATGCTTGTTCTGTTCGGATGGTATATAGGCATTTCAGAAGGAGGAAAACTGCATTTGTGATGGGTGGGGATGGCAGAGGCGAGGGTACATTTATTATGAATAGTCAAGAAAGAGTTGAGAAGGTGGGGACCTGTCCCTGATGGTACCTTTTATTAAGAAATGTCTCTCTTTAATTCTAGCCTGAAAACTGGGTTTTTAAAATGGAAGCCAGACTACGACAGTGCTGCATCTGAATATGGAAAAGCAGGTATTTGTGACTGGAGTCCTCTTGCTGCTGTGTATATCATTAGCATAATCGGATAACTTTGTCCTAGCATAATAATTTCAGTGGTTCTTGTCAACTTTACTAGTTAGAACAGAAGAGCAAAGCAGAGCAGCTGCACGGGCCTGGGCATTTTCCTGGACTTACCCTCTGCAGATCTGGCGAGTGCTGAGTCAGTTCTCGTCCTGGGTCCTGACAACAGACATGGGGTAGTGTCTGCAGTCCAGCTCTTAGCATTGCTTCTGTGGGTGCCAGCTTCATTCACTGGAGTCCATGAGTGTTGCATGCTTCTGTCTTAGACTTCCTGCTGTTGAGTAAAGGGTATTCTTTAATTTTTACACTAAAAAGAGATCTGCAGACCTTGTGTTTTCCCACATTAACGTTTATGAGCTTCATTTTTAGAAACACATGTTCACTAAGAGTTAAAACCTTTGTGCTCATTTTAGTAAATTCACCTGTCTATAAGCATAAAATACCTGAAATATGCAATGAAGGGAATTCAGTACAAGTTTAGTTTTATTAAGAAATGATATGATAGCCCTGAAAGGCTGCTGTCATTTTGATAGAACGTAGTAAAACATAATTTTGAGACTCGTGTGATGGCTCAGAGTGAAGGTGCTTGCTGCTGAGCCCACAACTGAGTTTGGATCCACGTGCAGACAGAGGGTCTGACTCCCACACGTGGTCTCCGATCTCCATGCACACGCCTTTAACCACCGCAGGTTTGAGTTCCTCAAGCACATTTTCATCTGTGACGATGTTAGTGAGCCTGGCTTTGAGATCTCCAGAGCAAGTACTTTCCACCAAATTTTAGTTTCAGTTTATCTCCAAATAAATAACTAAACAACCAAACAAACCAGGTACCTTGAAACTACCATTATTATGCATGGGTTTATTTTCTACTTGAAAGGAGAACAGAAGTCTTTAGCCTTATGTTTAAATATTGTGTAAGTTTTGTTTCTTACATTCTGCAAATTACATGTATTTTGTATTTAAAGATAAATTTGTTTAAACTTGAGATTTATATGGATTGTTGGGGATATTTTATAGTCTTTATAAAAAAACAAAGTTGGAACAAGCAAGAATAGGAGTAGTTGAATATTCTGTTTGTTTTCAACACTTGGTTAAAGAGTTCTCTGAGAGTGTGGCTTTAAGAAATAATAGTTGAGGACACTATCTAGAGGGAGGCCGAGGCAGGAGGATCTGTTCAAGCGGAGGTTAGTCAAGGCTGCATAGTTGAGTCCTCCACTAGGGGGTGCATGTGTGGAGACCCTGTCTCAGATGACAAAACAAAGACACACTTCCTTCAATCACTGTGCTTTCTACTTTTCATAATCCACCTTTGATGAATTTTCCGAAGACTAATATTGTCTTTCAGGGGCATCCTGATTGTGAGCCCCCATTGTAAGTGGTGTAGTTAACTAAATAGAAAAGCAAATGACTTGTTGGCACTTAATGACTGTGTGCAAAGGAAAGATGTATTACAGAACCGATGTGTTGATTGGGCTTCGGTTTGTCAGTAGTCGTGGGCTGGAAGGAAAGAAGCTGGGAGTGAGGTGTGCTCTTGGGTGGAGCAGGTTCTAGGAGCTCTTGGTATTCAGTGGAAGCAGCACTGATGTGTTGCTAAAAGTCAACAATTAAAACTTTAAAAGGCTTCTAAAAGTGTACCCAGAAAGATTATAACTTGCTTTAGATAAAAGTAATATTTCACATTTTTATGAAGCCTCCTATTTGAAATCTGTATTTTACTTCTCACATAATGCAGAGTTGGGTAATGATTCATTTGAGGACGGTTAATGATGGAAATAGAAAGTCTTACTTTTTTTTCTTTCCCTGTTTCAGCTGTTGCTTTTAAAAATGCCAAACAATTTGAGCAAGCAAAAGATGCCTGCCTACGGGAAGCTGTTGCCCATGAAAATAACAGGGCGTATCTTTTTTTTAGCTTTAAAAGGAAATGAAACAGCTAGATTTTGACACCACCTTTCCCTTGAGTGTTTGAAGTGAAATGCTTTTCAGTTAGAGAAGGAGAGGCAGTGTGTGCTTTATAGTCATGGGGGATTCAGGGAAGGATGGGCAGTGTGTGCTTTATAGTCATGGGGGATTCAGGGAAGGATGGGCAGTGTGTGCTTTATAGTCATGGGGGATTCAGGGAAGGATGGGCAGTGTGTGCTTTATAGTCATGGGGGATTCAGTGAGTGTTTCTGAGCACATGTTGGTATGAGCAGCCACGTTTGCCTGTTATTTCCTCCTGCTCCTGGCTTTGTTGACAGGGATTTGACTTGAGATGAAGGGAATGAGGTTTCTAGGCATGTGCCGAAAAAGAAAGTGAAAGTACAGCTATTGAAAATGCATAATCTGCTTTGGGGAAAATAGTCTTCCCCGGGTCTTTGAAGATTTATAAACATTCTAGAACGAAATGTTCTTGGTATGTCATAAGGGCTACCAATTATAAATGTCCATTCTATCTCCCATGCAAATATAGTCTTAGTATTCTTGCACTTCATCCTGTTGGTGTAGTAGTTTAAAGTTCTTCGCAGTGTTTGTCAGTGTTGGGCTGGTCAGAGCCAGCAGCAGCGCTGGGTATCGCTGCTTTACTCGTAGGATTTGTCTTTGGAAACACAGACCAGTGACTTGATCTCCGAAGACCACTGTTTTCTTCTGTTTTCCTTAATTTTGACATCGTTGTCTTCATTCAGTCTTTTTCATGCTGCCAAGTAAGTAACTTTTCACCCTTCTTATGTGTTTGCAGATGTTCTAAAAGTTGATCTCTCTAAGCTGAGAACTTTCCCTCAAGCTCTGTGTTTTTAAATACGTATATAAATTTAATAAAGATAATTATTTTCATTTGTTTTAGCCATCAGCTGAACTTTAAAGTCCAAGTGTCTCCTAGTAAGAAAGATTTTTAAATTCTGCATAATGTTTTGCTTGTGAAAACCCAGGTGACTTGAATTCTCCCTTTATTTATTGGTTGCCAGGTGCCCATGGAAGAGATGGGAGAGCTCTCCTTTTGTGGCGCATATTCATTTGTTTTAAAACTAAGAATTGGGCTTGTCTTTTAGCCTTCCTGAGACAGACTTAATTTTGCTGAATAAACTCAGTTTAGTGTTTGGTGTTCCTAAGGCATCAGTGCTCTAAACAGCAAATGAATGAAAGGAAACGCATGGCACTCTAGTGTGGCGGTACGGCCCGGAGTGACACACGTGCTTGAGTTCCTTTCTGCTGGTCAGGTGACCAGCATCTTCACCTGAAGCTCTCTCCCTCTTTGTTAAGGTCTCATCAGAGAAATTGTATTCTCTTTGCAGAGCTTACGAGCAAGCTGGCATGATGTTGAAGGTTAGTGATACTGTTTCAGAACAGCTGTGCGGGTAAAGAGAACTCGCAAGCTGTCAAGGCAGAGTTCATGTTGAAGTTGACAAGTTTCTTCCCTGTAAAGCAAGAAGGGGTGAGGGTGTGGGAGTGGGAGCAAAGGCTATATTAAGATGTCTTGCCCAGGTTAGTGCTAATTGGACCCATGGTGAGCGTCCTGTGGCAATTCCTGTAGAGGATTGAAAGTGCCCTGTGAAAGGCAATGGATTGGGAGGGAAGCCTGCAGCCAGGAGAGGGCGCTGCTGGAGACAGCCTGAGGGCGGCTTTATTTTACACGGATGTTTGTTTGTTTGTTTGTTTTGTTAAATTACTTGTAGGTTATGGAAAGGAAAATTAGCTTTATTAATTTTTTGGTTTATAAATATCAGTGTCAGGCTGGAGTCAGTAGAGTCTCAAACTAGCTATTGCCACTTTATTTTATTCCTTTTGAATGGAACAATGGAATGTTTTGACTGATGTGCTACATTTATGCTTCTTAATAGCAGGTTAGGGGTTACTATTCTGTTTTAGCTATGAAATGGGTTAAGTGTGTGTGTGTGTGTGTGTGTGTGTGTGTGTGTGTGTGTGTGTTTGTGTTTGTGTGTGTGTTTGTACACAAGCCAGAGCTCAACATTTGGTGTCTTCTGCCACTCACCTTCTTTTTTGAGACCAGGTCTCTGGCCCGACACTCGCAGGTTAGCTAGACTGGTGACTGGTAGTTCCTGACATGTACCTGTCTCCACCTCTCCAGAGCTCAGATTATAAGTGTATATCATATGTTGGGCTTTTTGTTGTTGATTTTAGACCTAGATCTCAGGTGGTACCTACTCTGTAGTGCTGTATGTGTGTCAAGAAGTGTGTGGGTAAAATCATGGAATTTCCAGGTGCTAAAACTCCATTTCTTAAGTTGAGACATTTTCTGCCTGTGCTGCATGCTTATCCTGAAGGAGATGCAGAAACTGCCTGAGGCCGTCCAGCTGATCGAGAAAGCCAGCATGATGTACCTGGAGAATGGCACCCCTGATACGGCGGCCATGGCCTTGGAGCGAGCTGGAAAGTGAGTGCACAGGGCTGTTGTGGGATGCCCTGGCTTTGCAGAGGGCTCCTTTTGTCTTGTAAAGTCCTTTAAGAAACAATTTCTTAATTCTCACAGATTGTATTTTCTGTCTAATTCAGGCTCATAGAAAATGTAGATCCAGAGAAGGCTGTGCAGTTGTATCAGCAGACAGCCAATGTGTTCGAAGTAAGTTAGAATTTTATTTCTTTAATTACTCATAATATTTTCATTCATAATATATAGGAAAAGAAATGTAGTAAATGCTTTTTAAGGTTTTTCTGTGTCGCAGCTCAATGCCTTCTTTCTTCTAGAGGTTAGTGAATGGCCTAACAGCGTTGGTGCTACCATCCTTGGCCATTGCTTTGTGCAGTTGTTGTTGCAGGGTCAGAAGAGTTCCACATTAACTCTGCCCACACTCCCTTTTCTGATTCCTGCAGAATGAGGAGCGCCTCCGGCAGGCAGTGGAACTTCTAGGAAAGGCCTCCCGACTGCTGGTGCGAGGACGAAGGTATGGCTTACATTTGTGACTTGTAAACAGCCTTGGCTATAGCTTGTCTACACCGGACAAACAGTGGAAAGGTGACCATCTCCTAAGAGTAGGCATGTAGATTTAAAACCTGTTTTCTATCATAACGGTAACTCCGTGAAGTGAAAGAGGAGTTGCTGTGGTCTCCCATCACACTACTTGGAACCCATGAAACCCATGAAAATCCACAGCTTTTGATACAGTTGTGTCATTAAATGGGATATTTAGTATTTTCCACTATATATATATTTTTAATTTTTTTCATATGTTCTTGAATTTGGTTTGCAAGTATTTCATTGAGAACATTTACATCTATATTCTTAAGGGGTATTGATCTATATAGTGGCTTCATAAAAAGAATTAAGAAATGTTCTTTCAGTTTCTGCACTGTGGAATAAATTGAGGCATATTGACACTAATTCTCTGAAGGTCTGATAGAATTCTTTGCTGAATACAACTGACCCTGGGATATTTTTGGTTAGGAGATTTCCTGATTACGGCCTCTATATCACTAGTGGTTATGAGTCTGTTTCAGTTGCTTGTATTATCTTGACTTAACTTTGGTTAGGTCAAATGTACCAAGACATTGGTCCATGTCTTTTAGATTTTATAGTTTGGTATAATAAAGATTTTTGAAGTATGTCCTCATGATTCTCTTAATTTCCTTAGTTTCTGTTGTAATGTTGCCCTTTTCATGTCTAATTTTGTTCATTTGGATCTTATGTCTCTCTTAGTTAATATGGCTAATGTTTTATCAATCTTAATAATTTTTCTCAAAGAACCAACTCTTCCTTTAATTGATTCTTTTTATTGGTATTTTTGTTGTTGTTTCTGTTTCGTTAATTTCTGCCCTGTTTTATTGTTTCTTCCTGTCTCCCCTTTGGATATTATTTCTTCTTGTTTTTCTAGAGCTGCCAGGTGTGTCATTAAGTTACCAATATGAAACCTCGAGTTTTTTGATATACGTATTTAGTGCTATGAACTTGCCTCTTAGAACTGCCTTCGTTGTGACCTATTGGTTTGGATATGTTTTGTTTTCATTTTCATTCACTTCTTATAAGTTTTTAATTTTCTTCTTGATTCCTGTCTTGACAGAATTGTTCAGTTTCTATGAGATTATGTACTTTCTGACGTTTCTGTTGTTTTTGATATTCAACTTTAATCCGTGGTGATCAGATGGATATGGTAGTGTTTCAGTTTTCTTGTATCTGTTGAGATTTGCTTTCTGATCTAGTATATTGTCAGTTTGGGGGCCATGAGCTGCTGAGGAGAGGGTAGATTCTTTAGAGTTTGGATGGATGTTCTGTAGATTCTGTTAGGTCCATTTGATTTAGGCCATTATTTAGCTAGTGTTTCTCTGTTTAGTTTTGTGTAGACCATCTGTCTGTTGGTGAGAGCTCTGTATTGAGCTCACTCACCATCACTGTGTGAGGGCTGACATGTGATTTTAACCCTGGTAATGTGTCTTTTATGAACCTGGGTGCCAATGTGTTCAGTGCATAAATGTTTAGAATTGTACTGTCCTCTTGTGTCTTCTTGGATTTCTCTTGTGATTAGTATGTAGTGTTCTCTTCTAATTAGTTTTGGTTTGAAGTCTTTTTTTTTTTTTTGCCAGATATTGAAATGGCTTACATCTACTTGATTCTTTGGTCCATCTGTTTAGAATAACCCATCCTTTAATCTCAAGGTGATATCTATTTTTGATGGTCAAGTCTGTTTCTTAGATGTAGCAGAAAGAAGAATCCTGATTTTGTAATCCAGTCTGTTAGTCTGTCTTTTTATGGAAGAATTAAGAGCATTCAGGCTGAGGTTTATTAATGAGCAGTGTTGTTTCTTGTTGTTTTGGTGTGCTGTCATCGGCATCCCCACCCCGATTTACTGTTGATACACCGGGATTATTTATTCTTGTGTCCTCTAGGGTGTGCTTAACCTCTTCATGTAGCCGGTGACTCACTTACATTTCCTGGCCGCCCTGACCCAAATAATCACATTTAAAATTGTGTTAATTACAGCACTGCTTGGTCAACAGCTTTGGCGTATTTCTACCTAGCTCTTATATCTTAAATTAACCCATTTCTATTAATCTGGGTTCTGGCCAACAACTGGAAGAGACAGAAAAAAGGTTAAAAAAAAAATCACGCTACACAGCTGCTTATAGGGACTGCTCTGGGGGTGGGAATTCTAAGAAGGTGAAGTACATCATCTCATTAAGAGAATAATCACCCCACTTGTCTGTTTGCATGACTTAAAGGAGACACGTATCTCAGTTTAAACTTGCCCATATCTCTGCAGTGACAGTAAAGGCCATAGGTGTAGTTTTTCAAGAAATTCGGGACTGGATCAATTCCTTTCCAAGGCTAAAGTAAGCTTTTCTTCATGATGACTACATATTATAAAATATATGCCAAACATATTTAGAGATGGAGTATGACTATATCTTATGTTGATAAGGTTAACTATTCTTTTTCAGATACACTGTTGTGTTTGTAAGATGTGGAAAGCTTCCAATAGTGAGATTTCCATAGAAATGAAACAGTCTGGTTCCTGTAATTTCATTTCTTCAGGGTCTGTGCTGCTCATGCTCACAGTCATGAGAGATGTGAGCACATGGGAGGCCTCCTTTCATTACTTTTTCTATTTGTATAGCGGACTGCCACAGCCCCAGCTCTTTAAAACAGCATTATGTAATCTCACGGATTCCGTGGTCAGAAGTCTCTACTGGGGCCTCAACAGGCTGAAATCAAGGTGTGGGAGGTACGCTGGGCCTACAGAAAGGCCAGGTTAGCTTGCTGGGATCCCCGAGCAGCAGTGCAGGGAGTGAGGACACATGGCAGATAAGGGAGTGGTCAGGGCACCCTGATGTTTTTACTGCAGATGGAAGGAAGCCTGGTGATGAGTCCAGATTGTCTAGAAAACTTCACAGAGCTGCTTATTGAGGTAGTTAGGAGCATATTAATGCGTGATTTTACCAAACTTAAAAACCTCTTTCATGCTAACCTCTCATTTCCTTTGCATTGCCCTGATGCCTCAGAGGGAGTCAGGCATTTGAGAGAAAAGTCTGATGAGTGCAGCCAATGGGAACACCGCTGTGGAGCACTGACGAAATGCTGTCCTCTAAAGTCTGTGCCCAGGGCAGTGGAGCAGTGGCATCTGCAGAGGGCTTCGCATCTGCCCTCCTTGACGTTTCTTTCTTTTGTCTTTAGGTTTGATGAGGCTGCACTGTCTATTCAGAAAGAAAAAAATATTTATAAGGAAATTGAGAATTATCCAACATGTTATAAGGTATTCTTTGAATATGTCTGGCTTGACTTCACTTTAGATATTTTACACATTGGTATAAAGTATTTAAGCTAAGATCCTATGGATATTTGTCTGTTTCTATAAATCAATAATTTATGATCTTTATGCTTCTGACCATGATGGAGAAAACCATCCTAGCCATCCTTTCGTTCAATAAAATTTTCAACAAAACACTAAAAGTATTCACTTCAGACTCCGGACAGTAAATAAAAATGGGTGGCCTGCAGATGGTGCCCAGTGCTTGGATGAAGCCAGCAGCTCAGGAGCATGCCTTCCTGGGAGCTCTGTCTCCTCTTGTCCGTTGCCCTGAGAGATGCCCCTCTCATGGCGCTGGGCAGGAGAGACTGAAGCAAAAACTGCAGAAGAGCCCTCCTCCCTGAAACTGGAGGGGCTCGGGAGAGGCCTCCCACCCCACTTGGTTTAGGTTGAGCTCCGGTCATAGAGCTGCAGCTGCATCACAGCCTTCCCTCTCGTTTCAGAAAACAATTGCTCAGGTCTTGGTTCATCTACACAGAAATGATTATGTGGCTGCAGAGAGGTGTGTCAGGGAGAGCTACAGGTAAGATCTGGCTGTTTTCACTGACCGGTGTTGACTTTCCTATTTCTTGAATTAACATCAATACCTAGACAAGTTTTGTTTTTGCCATGAAACTTTTACAAATCTTCTAAGAGATAAGACTGCCATTGCCGGGTTCCGTTGTTTTGTTGTGTGTGTCTTGTGTGTGCTGAGCAAGCCCTTACTACAGAGCTGAACTCCAGTTCCACCTCCCACTTAGGGTTTGCCAGTCAGCAGTTATGGTACCAGTTTTACAAGTTGCTTTTCTGCTTATGCTGTTCCCGGAATGATTTTCGTTACTTCGTTATCTTTGCCTTTTAAATGACAACAACAAAGGAGAATTTCTGTGTGATATGTTGCAAGTCAGATGGGGGCATGAATGAGTATTGGCCATTTATTACTGTGCAAGTGTCTTGTGCACTGTAGGATTCCTAGTGGCATCCTTGGTCTCCACCCACTGGTTGCCAGTAGCACCCCAACACTTGTAACCATCAGAATGTCTGCAGACCTTCTCCTGCCCTTGATGGGAACAGAAGGAGTCTCAAGGGAGAGCTGAAGTGTGATTTGTGCTTCCGTAGCATCCCAGGGTTTAATGGCAGTGAAGACTGTGCTGCGCTGGAACAGCTCCTGGAGGGGTATGACCAGCAAGACCAAGATCAGGTGTCAGATGTCTGCAACTCACCCCTTTTCAAGTACATGGACAATGACGTAAGTGGGCCTTTTGGGTCAGCTCTCCTCTTGAAGAGATTCTCCCCCTGTGGACTGGAGAGTTTTCTACCTCTGTACTTGTATTTTTCACTGTGCTCATAAAGGAGCCAGCCAATCTAGTTGAACTTTACCCTGTGTAGGTGATGTAGCTACTGTATGCGCTCAGGACTGCTTACTTGCTTCCTGTCTGTGTTGTCATGTGCATATTATAAATTCAGCCCCATTTCTTCCCTCTTTTCTCCTGCCCTGTTTCTTGGTTTATCCAGTTGCTATTAGGTTTTTTACCTGAAAGAGGCCATCCCGGGAAGCTGTAGGCCTATGGGCATCCCGTGTCTGTGAGAGCTGTGTGAGACAGGCTGTTATTAGTCATCCTCAAGCCTAACCTGTAAAGTGGAAGAGCTCAGTTTGTCCACTAGACTGTTGTGAAGAATCCTCTGGTCTTCTGTGAGAAATAGCCTTACACTTGAGTGAGCCACAGCTCTCAATCTTTTTCCTCAGTCCTTCTGTATATTTATCTGATTACTAACCTTAGAGTTCTGTCACAATGTCAAATTAAGATCTTGAATTTTCTTATAATGATAGAGGTAAACAATAATCTTTTTTTTATTCTAGGTAAATTCTTACACATACTTTTCTTTTTTCTTCTTGGTCTCACTGGTGTATAGTACCACCTAGCCTTGAACGTACAGCCTTCTTGCCTCAGTACCCTGAAGTAATGCAGGAAGTCCAAGTGTGCGCCACTCTACCTAGCGGCTTATGCGCTTTTGAAAGCATCCTTGTGTCATAATAATAAGTATGCGGTATCTTCCTCAACAGTGTGTTGTAGGAGCTGTGGGCTGTGTTCCTGCTGCCCCAGCTCCTGGTCGCCTGGCTAGCTTTAAACCCGAAATAACAACACACAAATTGTATTCTTTTAAACACTGCTTGGCCCACTAGCTCTAGCCTCTTACGGGCTAATTCTCATATTTTGCCTAACCCATTTTTAGTAATCTGTGTAGCACCAGTCTTACCGGGAAAGATTCAGCATGTCTGACCTGGCGGCTTGCTTCATCGCGTCTGCCCAGGAGAGGGGGGCATGGCCTCTGAGCTCACTTCCTCTTCCTCCCAGCATTCCATTCTGTTTACTCCTCCCACCTATGTTTTAACCTATGAGGGCCAAGCAGCTTCTTTATTATATTTAACCAATGACCTTCCTCCATCAACAGTGTCCACCTTGTTTTGAGACAGTCTGAACCTGGAGCTCATTGATTTGGTTATCTGGCTGGCCAGCAAGCCAGGGATCCTCCTGGCTCTGCCTCCCCAGTGATGGGACTATAGGCTTTTGTCTCTACATTTGTCTTTTGTGTGGGTGCTCAGGACCTCTGGAAGAGCAGTCAGTGCTCTTAACCACTGTACCATCTCTCTAGCCCATTTTTTAAAAGTGTAGGTTCTGGAGATCAAACTCTGGTCTTCAGGCATGAAAAACAAGACCTTTACTAACTGAGTTCTCTTCCCAGCTCCAAATTTGTATTTTTTTTAAATTGTTCCTAATTTACACTCTCATTGACTCAGGTTTTTTCTTCATAACTACTAGAAGTATTATGGGTATGTCCATATTATCTCCAGGTCCCCAGTTAGGTACATACTTGATACATCCACAACTGTGAGCCGTCGCACCGTGGTCTAATGACAGGGCATTTCTCTCAGAATACTAGTTCCTGGGGATGGATGACTAGTATTTATTGCTCTGTGCATGTATGAAGTGTGAATGGGCACAGGTGCCACAGCACACATGTGGAGTTCAGGCCAACTGTGTGAAGTTGCTTTTCCTTCTCTCCTTCTGAGGGTTCTGGGGATTAAATCCAGATTGTTAAGCTTGTATGGCAAACACTTTTACCCACGGAGCCATCTTGCTGACCTCATGCACATGCGCTTCTCTCTAAAAGATTTGTTTTTATTTTTGTGTACATAAGTGTTTACCTGCATATATTGCACCATATGGGGGTGCCTGCAGAAGTCAGAAGGGGATATTGTACCTCCTGGAACCAGAGTAAAGATAGTTGTGAGTCGCTTTGTGGGCTTCAGAACCGAACTCACATTCTCTGCAAGAGCAGCAAGTCCTTTTGACTACTAAGCCATCTCTCCACGTGCCCCTACTTCCCCATCCCGACCCCAGTCCTTTTTATAATTAGCTGATGCTAAGACACTGTGTATCAAGATTTTAGTTTTTCAGCTTTAATAACTTGTCTTACTGTTGACAGTACGCTAAGCTGGGCCTAAGCCTAGTGGTCCCAGGAGGGGGAATCAAGAAAAAATCACCAGCAACACCCCAGGCCAAGCCTGATGGAGCTGCCAGCACAGCTGCTGAGGAGGAGGAAGACGAGTATTCAGGAGGCCTGTGCTAGTATCCTGCCTGCAGAGAGATGAGAAGCTGGGAATCCTGGCGAGCCTGTTGATGGGGTTACTCATCTGTGGTCATCTGCTTCACGGAGATTGTGACGCTGAGTGTTAATATATGTGAAGTTTAGCTTGCCTTTCCCCAACTCAGCCATTGTGTCTGCTACCTGTGAAGCTCTGTACTTTCCGTTCTAAGAGCAGAAATGAGCGGTCATATTTTAATAATTGATTTTAAAATGTATAGATAAATTTCAGATAAATTATATTATAAGCAAGGCAGGAAATAGGCATAAATACTCTTTTCTCATGGGTTCTTGTAATTTATTGTTAAATAATTGTCACTGCATTTTATTTAACGTTACTTTCTAAACGTGGTTTTTCTTTTTTTTTTTTTCTTTTTTTTTTGGTAAAAATAATTATTTCAAAACTGGTCTGGTTCTTCCCACCATCTTTCCGTGTTGTCACATGGTACTCATGCATGTTCTGATTAAGGTTCTCAAGAGCATCCTTAGTGCCCAAAAGAGAGGCAGACAGCAGGTCTTCAGTGGGCAGCACTCCAGTGTCACCCTCCATTCTGACTGTGGTGGTGGTGCGTGCTGACACCTGACACCCTTACACGGGTGGGTGAGGAGAGCGTTGATGGTCACAGAACTGGGACCATTGTTGTCGCCCTGCAGGCTAAACAAGTGTGGAGTATCAGCCCCAGGTTAGATGTGCTACTTAAAGACCGAGATCTGGCACAGTTATCTTCCCGTCCTGTCAGTGTGGTTGCATTGTACCAGTAGCCTCAGCTAGCATTGTGGACCATGAAGAAGCATGGCAGGAACATGGAGAGGAAGACCTGGGGTTCTCTTTTTAGGGGTACAAAATGTAAGAATGAAAGCAATGTTCCTGTGGACGGAGGACTTGTCTCATTCTGAAAAGAAAATTTATCCATCACCATATTAGATACATTTAAATTACTGAGTATTTTCAGAGACAGCTTTAGGATAAAAGCCTTATAGTATTTAGCTTAATAAATGACCACAAAATGTGGAAGGCAGAGTATTGGTGTTTTTTTTTTTTTAAACAACAATAAAAAGGCTGGCTGTGTTCCAACATGGGACTAATTAAGACCATTTGCATGAGTCCAGAATGACAGGTAATGTTCCTGTCAGTCTAGTATGCATTTCTGACCTCCAGAGCAGTTCTGATTCAGAGTTCATAATTTAGCATGAGTTGTTCTGTATACTACAAAAAGTAAAAAGCCAGTGTGTGTGTGTGTGGAGGGGGCGACAATGCATTTGAAGGACATACATTTAGGGCTGGGTTACCAGTCTTTTCATACCTCAGAAGGCCTTCCATGCTTATTTCCTAAAAGTTAGTTTTGAAGCATTCCTCTTTTTCTAAACCTGATGGCTTCGACCCTCTCAGAGCTGGTGTGGACTGAAGAGGATGCAAACAGCAGCAGGGCGTGCACCAGGCGGCAGTGTCGACTGGACTGGTCCCTGTCGTCATGCTCCCCTGCCTGCTCCACCGCCGTCTCGTTGTGACACCCCATACTTGCATATAGTATGCTTGGTTTTGCTGGCTTTCCAGAATCTAGGAAAGTATCTTTATGTTACTGGTCCTAGTGGGAGATCTCAGACTAGCATCCTCTGCCAGGCGTGCTTGAGTGGGTGGATGTCACGTAGAGTCCCTGCACAGGTTACAGGTCAGATGCAAAACACTAATAAAAGTTTTCTATCTTCCCCTAAATTACCTGGAGAGTTGTTTGGGTTGCCAGCTCATTGTGTTTAATTGCATTGAAATTATGACTAAAGCTGTATTTGGCATTTTTATTTAAATAGGAAATTGGTATTTCAAAGATGGTGTCAATGTTGTGTTTACCTTTAGATCCAACCAGAAACATCATGCTTATTTGAACAAATTAATACTCTATAAAAGTAGATTTGGCAGTACTTAAAAGTTTCTTTAGACAATTGTGTGGCGCCTGTTAATTCAGTAAAACCTTGCAGGGAGTCAGTTTTACTCAATCTTAAACAAAAAAGGAACCATGAATGTATTGTGGAGCAGCATTACAGCTCAGTTTTAAGGCAGCAGAGGGTTTAGACAGTTGTACACCTCCCGCCATCCGGAGCCAGCGCTCAGGATCTGGAGCTCGTTTTTGTGTTGGTTATTCTGGGTGGTGTCTTGGGGCTTTTGCTCCATGTGTACACATTTTCTTTTTTTTTTTTCTTTTTACAGAGGTCTATGTATCTAGCATTTTATTTTTCTACCTGCATTAAGTCTGCACTCCGGAGAGTTTTAGTCAGACTTGGGAAACTTAGTGTTTACAACAAGAACTGTTTTCCAGAACTCTTAACACCCTCTATGAAAGTGAAAATCTGCATGAATATGCTAGAACCACTTAGTGTTTAGTTACTGTATAGTAAGTGTGAAGTCAGTCTACAGAACACATTTAATATATTGAATTTGTAAATACGCAGAATATGGTATTTGTGTATGGAATCTGTGCATTATCATATTTTTTCAGATTTTTGGTGAGTAAAATATTAATATGTTGTTAATGGAAATTAGATGTTTACTTCTGAAGGAAGATAATTATGAAAATAAAACCCAAGACTCTATGAATGTTTTTAGTTTTATTTGCTTATTCATTCTCTTCAAGGACACATTTTCTTAATCACTTACATTATTTTAGTTATCTTTCAAAAGAACAACAGTATTTATCTGTCCTCAGTTGCTTTGCTTTGTCAGAGTTACTGTATATTGAGTCTTTTAAAATACCAGTTATTTATGTCCTAACATACTGCTGTAAAGGCTGCTCACCGGGGAAGTCGAAGACTAATGAACATATCATCTAAAAGAAGAGTCCATCACAGGGTCAGAGGAGATAAATGTGAATGGTATTGCTTTGCAATTAGAATTAATTAGAATGTAAGTTACTAATTGGATTTCACCTACAATTATACACTGTTTGACAATATTGTCCCTAACTCGAGTGGAAATTGATAATATAACTTGATATTTAAATTTAGGATAAGTTGTAAAAATAGTAGACCATAGAGATTCTTGGACTCTGAATTCATGTTTCTCAGGATCCGGTGACGTGTTCAAGTTCCTTTTTGGTCACCAGAGCATTTGTAGTCCCATGACAAGGCTGAGAGATAGTGGTGGCCTTTGTTCTTATGTGGCTAGTGCCGGCAGACATCCCAGACACACTTTGATTTAATGATCTAAAGACGTACCAACTTGAAAAAAAATGAGGCAAACATTGATTTTAAAAACGGAGCAATCCCATTTTTCCATACCTCCTATTTTCCACAACAGCCACCCACTAAAGAGCAAGTGTTAGGAAAGTGTGAGTCTGGGGGCATTCTCGTTCAGATAACCACGGGTGTCTCACTTAGACAGGTTCACATTTCTTTGGCCCTATGCCCCACAGTGCTCACTTGCCCTGCCAGAGCAGAACTCTCAGGTGACCTGTGACAGACACACGGCACAAGTAAGACTTGATTGTATTAAGCAGAGCTGGGAGTGATTACTGCAGAATAACATGGTTCCCTTCTGATGGTGATTTTTTTTTAATGAAGCCCACCTTTATAAATGTGACTATCACATTGTGGGGGCAGCTGTTCTATTACATAGATCAACATCCTGCCTACTGGATTGAGTTTACCAAAGACTACTAAATTATGTACTAAAATCCGTGAAGTCTGAAAAGGTGCAGAAACCAACTGAGCAATAAAGCTATTTCAAACTGCATTGAGAGATATCCTTCTGTTCTTCACGGAACCACCTTCTTCCAAATTTAACTACAAAGCATTGATTATAGAAAATGCAAAAAAACCTAAGAAAATAGATATTAATATACTATGGCCCAATGCACTGGGAAACTGAAGTCTGTTAGAACTGGAATCTGACTCGGAAAGACTTCACTTTAAAAGGCTGAATCCCACAGCCGGGATCAAGCCGTCTCTTCCACACAGCTCTCTTTGGGGCAGAATTAGGCAGCTTGTCTATGCTGTGGCCTAAGAGCAGCCCCTAAACAGCACATGTTATGTATGCTAGGTAGAACTAAATCACGTATATGACATGAGACTGAAAGGTTTTATGAAAGTCCAGTCTTCCCTGTGTTGGGATGGATCCAGAGGATCCTCAGAGGGATCTGTTTGGGGGAGGCTCTCAGGGCTGCTATCTGAAGAGGCTCCTCTGGCTTTCCCACCCCTCCCTTTGCCATCCCTCCCAAGTGATTCTCTTTCCCTGTCTTCTTCATTTTCTCTTAGTGAAGCTCTCCTCCAGGTTTTAATTGGAAGCTTCCCCTTCCATTTAAGGCCCCATCGTGCTTGGCTTACCATTTCTTGTGGGTATTTCTGTCTCTTGTCCTCTTTCCCACTTCAAGGCCTGACCATGGCCTTGAGGTCTCTTCATTCTGAACCTCATTTCTGGAGGGGATCTTATCAGCTTCCTTTCTGGACCCACTGTTGTTGACTTGTTCTATATTTGACAGAGTTCAACCCCAAAGGTAGGTTCAAGAGTACAAGCCACCAAAGGTCATGTATTCCCCTGAGCACGTGCAGTCAGCCTGCAGCAGACCTCACGGGGCGCACCCCCTCGCCTCCCACTCTGCTGTATTCCAGCTCCCAAGACTGTGTGCTTATTCTCCACATTTGCTTAAATTTAATGACTTAACCTAAATAGGTACAAAACTACTCATTTCATGTTGACAGAGCAAGTCAGGTTCAGTGCTAATACTGCTTTCTAGTTTCAGGAATGGACCTGTGATAAATTTCAATGATCAGGTTATTTGAAGTGGGATGTGGGTGGCATCTTCCTGTGCCACCCCAGATAAAAGGAGGTCCGAGGAAAAAGCTTCACTTTAACCTGTTGCTTTCATGTCTTGCTGGTGAGTTCATCTGCTGTAGTGCTGCCACTGCTGCTAAATGCCCTTGCTGATATCAGAGCCTGTCGTCTTTAGGCTTCAGTGTGACTTAAGGGAAGTACCGCTCCAAAGACCATCCAGGCCTTCAGCCCCAGGGTGGGCCTGCTAGGGTATCTATGCTTATAGACTGAGATTAAGTTCTCTGCCTGTCTAGTTTGAAGACAGCCACTGATGGTGTCTCCTGACAATACTGTGCAAGCCAATCTAATAAATCCCCTTTAATAAATATTCATTCTTTTGGTCTGTTTCTCTATGGGACCCTAGTTAATCTGTGAGCCTGGAGAATAAAACTGTTTTTGTCTTTGGTTTGTACATACCTTTATCAAAACAAAACAATACATTATCTCCAGTGTGAATACTGGCATGCCATTTTATTCAAGGAAGACCTGTTATAATGATGAAGGGATTAGAGAACAATTTTAACCCTCATCAACACCCAGGCAAGTGTAATGCATCCATCTCTTGTGGAGTTTGTAATACAAGAATCCCCAGGAGAGGTTTTGGCAGATGTGGATACTTAGGCAGATGTGGCAAGGTGTTTTGATCAAGTACTACCATGCTGTAGCACATCTCTGTATCTATTTGGCTGACTGTAATTTTATCAGTTTATCCTACACAAAAGTAATAGTATTTGGGAACAGCTTGCCAGGATATGCCCATTGCTGCTACAGTGTCATGAATCTTACGGGAGTCACCAACCACTTCTTTTCTGATTGGATTTAAGGGCTGCTTAACAAGATGGAGCTTTGGTATTATTTGTAAACTAACGCAAAAAAAAAAAACCCTAAAATTAATGAGGTCACAGGCCCTAGAGAAACAACTCAAAACTATTACTCAGATAAATGTGTGGTTATTAAACTGCCCCCCTAAGTTATTTTATACCCCCAAATTAGTGCATCTCTCTACCTTCATCAAAGAGGCTTCTCTGAGCATAGATGAAGATGAATATGGATATCTAAAGCTGGAACAGGGTCTCACATTCTATCACTGAGCCATACTTAAAAGCTCCTTTTTGATTTCTAGTTTTAGACAGTATCACTGTGTTGCCCAGGATAGCGCTGAAATCACGCTAAACTGGAATATAGTCTTCTGTTGAATACCGTGGTTAAAGACAGTGCAGAGGACTTTTGGACAGGTCAAGGACACAT